CGTGCCACCCAAAGTACAAGTCCCATCCCTCAACATTCAATATCCTCTTGTTAGACAAATTAATCCAATCCGTCATCCATGTTAATGCACAAGAGTCATAATAAAGTATCAAATTTGGAGCTTTAAGTCCTCCACGTTCTCTAACATCTTGAATAATCTTGAATTTAACTCTTGCTTTCTTGCCCTCCCAAATAAAACGGTTCAAGTCTCTCTGCCATTCTTTCAAATTCAATTCATTTTTTAAAATAGGTAACATCTGAAACAGAAAAAGAAACTTAGGTAGAATGTTCATTTTAATGGCCGCAATACGACCCAGCAAAGAAAACTGAAGTTTTTTCCAGCATAATAAGTCCTTTTGTACTGATTTCCATAGTCTTTCATAGTTATTCTGATAAAGTTTCATGTTAGAGGAGGACAGAAAAATTCCCAGGTACTTAACTTTATTAACCACTTCAAATCCTGATGTTTGCGTAAGTTGATTTTTATCTTTAACCATCATGTTCTTTGTAAGAATTTTAGTTTTATTGACATTAATTCTAAATCCAGCCACCTTGCCATATTGATGCAACTCTTGCAACAAAGATTCCAGTGACTCAATTGGTTGAGACAATGTAAAAACTAAGTCATCCGCAAAAGCTTTAAGTTTGTATTCTTTACCAGAAATCTTTAGGCCTTTAATCATTGAAGATTCTCTAATTCTAGACAATAAAATTTCCAGTGACAATACAAATAGTAAAGGAGAAAGTGGACAACCTTGTCTGGTACCTTTTTGTATATCGATAAGCTCTGTCAGGTCTCCATTAATAATTATTTGAGCACCCTGTTTTTGATATATTGCCTTTATAGCTGTTTTAAATTGATCTCCAAAGTTCATATAATCCAACATTTTATTTAGAAACTGCCATTCCAATTTATCAAAGGCCTTCTCCGCATCAAGAAAAATAAAAGCCGAAGATATTTGATTATTCTTATCCAAATATTCCAATAGATTTACAATTTGCCTAATATTGTTCTTCATGTATCTCCCAGATATAAAACCAGTTTGATCATCATGTATATAATGTTGCAATATCTGCATCAATCTATTAGCCAGAATTTTTGCAAAAATTTTATAATCCACATTCAACAAAGAGATAGGTCTATAATCTTTAAGTTCCAAAATTTCTTTATCATCCTTCGGTATCAAAGATATAAAAGCTCTTGTCCAAGACTGTGGTGTTTGTTCTCCCAGCATAATTCTATTAAATAAAATTTTTAAAGGTTGTAGCATCACAGCTGACAATGACTTATAAT